ATAGTTAAGATAGCCTTATGCCTATCCCACTTAAACTCCTTTACTGTGTTAACCTCTATCACTTCAGCTGGAAGGCTATTCCATGCATCCACTACCCTCTCAGTAAAGTAATACATCCTGATATTATTTTTAAACCTTTGTCCCTCTAATTTAAGACTATGTCCTCTTGTTGTGGTAGTTTTTCTTCTTTTAAATATAGTCTTCTCCTTTACTGTGTTGATTCCCTTTATGTATTTAAAGGTTTCTATCATATCCCCCCGTCTCGTCTTTCCTCCAAGCTATACACTTTAAGATCCTTTAACCTTTCCTTGTAAGTTTTATCCTGCAATCCATGAACCAATTTAGTAGCCCTTCTCTGAACTCTCTCTAAGGTATCAATATTCTTCTGAAGATACGGTCTCCAGTACTGCATACAATACTCCAAGTGAGGTCTCACCAGTGTTCTGTACAATGGCATGAGCACTTCCCTCTTTCTACTGCTAATACCTCTCCCTATACAACCAAGCATTCTGCTAGCATTTCCTGCTGCTCTATTACATGTCTGCCTACCTTTAAGTCATCAGAAATAATCACCCCTAAATCCCTTTCCTCATATGTTGAGGTTAGGACTCTATCAAATATTCTGTACTCTGTACTCCAAGATGCATTATCTTGCACTTATCTACATTAAATGTCAGTTGCCACAACTCTGACCATTTTTCTAGTTTACCTAAATCATTTGCCATTTGGCTTATCCCTCCTGGAACATCAACCCTGTTACATATCTTAGTATCATCAGCAAAAAGACATACCTTACCATCAAGACCTTCTGCAATATCACTAATAAAAATATTAAAGAGAATGGGTCCAAGTACAGATCCCTGAGGTACCCCACTGGTGACAAGTCCAAGCTTCGAATATATTCCATTAACTACAACCCTCTGTTGCCTGTCACTCAGCCACTGCCTTACCCATTCAACAATATTGGAATCCAAACTTAAATATTGCAGTTTATTGATAAGCCTTCTATGTGCAACAGTGTCAAAAGCCTTACTGAAATCTAGGTAAGCAATGTCTACTGCACCACCCTGATCTATAATTTTAGTTACCCAATCAAAAAAATCAATAAGATTAGTTTGGCATGATCTCCCTGAAGTAAACCCATGTTGTCTCTGATCTTGAAATCCATGTGTTTTTAGATGTTCATCAATCCTATCCTTTAACATGGTTTCCATCACTTTCCCCACTACTGAAGTAAGGCTTACTGGCCTATAGTTGCCCGACTCCTCCCTATTACCTTTCTTGTAAATGGGCACAACATTCGCTAACTTCCAATCTTCTGGGACTACTCCTGTTAACAATGATTGGTTAAATAAATCTGTTAATGGTTTTGCTAGTACACCGCTAAGCTCTTTTAATAGCTTTGTGTGTATTCCATCAGGTCCCATTGACTTATTTGTCTTTACTTTTGACAGTTGAAATAGAACCTCTTCCTCTGTAAACTGACATGTAATAAATGACTCATTTATCCTTTTTCTTAACTGTGGTCCCTTTCCTTCATTTTCATCTGTAAATACCGAACAAAAATATTAATTGAGGCAGTCAGCTAGACCTTTATCCTCTTCTACATACCTTCCTTCTTTTGTTTTTAATCTAACTAATCCTCGTTTTACTTTTCTTTTCTCATTTATGTATCTAAAAAAAGTTTTGTCCCCCTTTTTTACTGACTGTGTTATTTTCTCTTATGTGTGTGATTTGGAAGCTCTTATAACTTGCTTAGCCTCTTTATGTCTAATCTTATAGATCTGTCTGTCTTCCTCACTCTGAGTTTTTTTATAATTACTAAATGCTAACTTTTAGTTTTTTTACTATTTTTGTGAAGGAATTTTATGTATTTACCTGTGTGCTTTCAGTTTAACCCTCTCCCTGCTGTTTAAATGCCTGTATTAGTTCGGTTCAATATACAGGGAATAAATGTATTCGTTTACCGAAAGAGGACCACACACCCTGGGTAGCAATTAGCATTAGAATGCAGAGAAAACCACAACTTAATTGCTACTAGGTGGCCGCCATTCGACATACGAACACGTGGCGAGAACAAAGGATGGCGGCCATCTTAAAACTCACAAATGCGGTCAGCGTGGCTTACGCATGAATTTCATGGAACTAATTTCGGTACGGCAAACATGCGAACGCCCGGTCACCACGGAAGTCCTGGATGAATACGTTCCCCTACATGAATCCAACTGGCGTTCGGTAGATAGAATCTACCGAATAAGGAGAACATTCACAAGTAACCAGCTGCACCATACGAACGGTGGTTTTCGTGCAGTTAGATGCGAACGGAGACCGGCTCTTGCTACTGATTCTCTGGAACTCAAAATCGGATACCTCCACATGGCGAGCCGGTCAAACTTCCACACGATGCGACACGGAAACTACCGAACGGAAATTCGTGAGATTTGGATATATGACTACAAGTATCCTCAGCTATCCAGGGATGTTGAAATTATGTTTGTATGTGGCATAAAAAATACTTTTCTAAAATTGTTTAAAACTGTAATATTTTTGGCCAGCAGATAATTGAGCTTTGTGTATTGTAGAAACTCAATTATCTAGCCTGGCCCAGAGGAGGAGTTTTGTGTTGCATAAATTGTGAGTTCTGTGTGCCAGTAAATCAGTCTTGTTCCAGCATTAAGCTTTGGCTCATGTGTGGATTATTTGGCGATTCCAGGGATATTTCTACTCGTGGAATATTGGGTGTTTTTCTTTTATGGGAAGAAGGGAATGCTTGATGATGATACCCTATACTACCGTCACAATTTTGGCCACATCTGCGGAGTACCACAGTGGTTTCTTGAATTTTTTGCTTTTACTGACAAGCCTAATGCAATTTTCTGTTGCCTTCAGTAGTGCAACTTTTAAATAATCCCATTTCTCTTAGACTCCATTTAAATTGCTCCAGTCTGATAATGACTCCTTTACACATATTCTAATTTTAGGTGCACATGCCATTTGATAGGTAGCTCATCTTGTAATATTTAGTGATGTAGGAGAGACCTACGCCACCATTATACTTTGTAGTGCAGTTCTTCCAGACGTTGGTGAAGGAACTTTTTGACACCATATATATGTGCATATATATGAGTCACGTAGGAAAACAAGAGTGAGGGATGGTTATTGGTATGGTCTGCAACAGATATTGTATCCTGTGGAGTATGTTCCTACCATACCAGGATATGTCAAGATGGATCTGGGTACTTCATACCACTCCTATACTATTTGAATGGAAAATGGAGGATATCATGAACATTCAAACTACAGTGTCTACATTACGTGATTTGGTCATTCAACTGCAAACTGACCAGAAATCTATGTTTATGCAGATAATTCAGCACGAAGACTGGCGCTGCCGCAACCATGTAAAAATGTGTGGCATTCCCACTGCAATTGTAGCAGAAGAACTACGTCACTGCATTCAGAGGTTACTTGTCTCTATTTTGCCGCCCGCAGTAGCCAAGAAAATGACCCTGTGTGGAGTCTACTGTTTTGCGGAAAATACCAAAAACCAACACCACCCAAATGATGCAATTCTGCAATGCTCATCTTTTTCTGACCCTGAGCAGCAAAACACCTCTGCCATTTGACGATTCTCATTTAGTACCACATTTAGTAGTTTGATAGTACCACACGTACTATCCGATTTCTGGATGAAGCATCTGAATTGCTGACCACACTAGGCTTGATGACTGCTGTTCCTGCACGTCCCACCCAAGTTCCGGACATGGCCCCTATTGTTACTATTTTGCTTGTTCTGTTGTGTACACCCACTTATTCACTTTTTATGTTGCCCATTAATGTGAGCTTTTGACTATATGTCTCCAAGAATTTTGGTGGTGAGATCCTACCCAAGCCGTTATGGCTATGCACGGGTATCTTGCTGGTGAGATGCCATGATGCATTGTCAATCCCCTCCAACCTGCAGCCCCTTTGGTTAGGTGCCCCCACTTGCTGAGTTTGGCCACTTTAACCCCTGTTTATGTACATGCATCCTCACCCTGGCTCCTCTCCTGTTTACTGCACCTGTACATCCTATTCTATATTGTTACAAAAGAAAAGTAGTAAGGTGCAATTGGCGCTAATGAAATAAAGCAACAATCCCCAAATACAAATGATCACCCAATTGGTTACAGAATCAAGTACACAAAAGATATAGTAGTGGGGAGTGCTTAACCCCAGAGTTACACTCTTTAATGGCACCCGTAGTAGGGAAGGGGTCAACGCTGCCAAAGCTGTTCTTTTTCCCAAATGAGAAGTCAGCTACCTAACACTCCTAAACTCTGAACAGGAATCATACGAATTTTCCCCCCAAGTACGAGATGAGGCTCTGTATTGAGGGTCAAGCAGGATCTGTTTAATGAGGGCTACATGTCAGCCTTTTATGCAGGTCTTCCAGCAAGGCACACTCCCATAGGGACCTTGTGGAGGACTGAGACAGTTTTGTACAATAGCCAATCACATGCAATACAGTATGAAAACACTCCCACATGAACAGTACAACTCCTCCTCTCTATCCTGGAGATAATTGGCTTAAGTGCTTGAAGTAACTCAATTACCTCCATGGATAGAGCATATCCTCCATTTTACAGTAATGGTAAAAACACATTAAAATAGATATTCCCAAATATACCGAACGGAACCCCCACATTCAACGTATCCCCATACATGCAGTTCAATCGCCGTGGAGTTAAAGTCTTGTACATTGTGTGTTTGACGAAACGAATGAGCTCCATGGGCCGACTATCTGGTACAGTTCCGTTCATGCATTGTCAATTTATTTTGACAAATGCAAGCAGGCAACAGACGAACAACGGGCAACTGCCGAACAAACAGATGAATCAAGTTTTAAATAGTAATCCAAAGGCAGAGAGATCTGCCACACACTCTAATGTAGATATTCAGGGAAGTATCTCCATTAGAGTGTAACTGTGGTGTTAAGCACTCCCCACTAATATATATTTTGTGCACTCTATTCTATATTTTAGTGAAACCCACCTTTCACTCTGTCACCACGCATGTTTTTATTATCGACTCCATGCTGTACCTTCCTTTGTAAGGAGGAACCTAAAATTGTAGTCCCCCTTATTATCATTCTTGCGGATGTAACCACTGGCATGGAGACACTTACCCTGTGCAGGTCCTATCGGTCTACACACAGCCTACACCTTTTCCCACACCAAGTTGCAACCATACATGCCTAGAGTGTTTACGCTACGTTGTCTGCAACGTTGGCGTGTTAATTTTTTATTTATTTATTTTCTAATATGAAGCTACACAACCCAATGTAAAATAGAAAAAAGTTAAGAATTATACTAAACATTTTGGTAGAATAGAAAAATTATCACTGGAACAAAATTTTTCAATCAATACATGATGATATCAGTAATTTCACTATGTCACTTCCATTTACTTTGTCAGTCAATTTTATTTAATTTTTTTTTTTATTAATTCAGTGAACAATCGGTGTGCAAGATACAATTCCTGTTTTCCTGTTATCATTTTTTTTTTTTTTTTTTTTAACACCACATAGTTTCTGTCTTCAATTTCCAAGCAGGAAATAAAAAATAAAAATAAAAAGTTTCATTAGTCAAAAAACTGATATATTAACATAACCAATTTTTTTTTTACAAGTTTTAACATTTATCATTTTTAAAATTAGCAAGATATACTAAATATAACATATTTAGTTGTTTTAAGCGTGCAGGTACATTAAACCCTCCAAAACTGTGAAGTGTCCTGGACATGTGAATACTTTCTTTGTTTTTTTTTATTTCATATTTGTATTTTAATTTGTATATTTTACTGAATATCTACCACCCCACTTGTTGAATTCTGGAGCTTCCTGCTAGCCTTTGAAGTCTGGATACCACGGTGGTTGTGGTGATATACCTTATTTTATCTGAAATCTTGTAAGTGCAATGTTGTGTAATAAATGTGTTACATTTTAATACCATCTGCACTATATTTCTCTTCTTTTTGTTACTCTGAGCCATTAAGAAGATCTTATCTGAAGAGAATCCAGGCCCGGACTGGCCATCGGGCAAATGCCCGGTGGGCCACGGTGGCCATGGGCCGAGGCCTGCAGGGGAGATCCCAGAGCCGGCACTATCCGAGTGGACCACCAGGGATGATGTCTCTGTGCCAGTCGCCCTCCTCCCAGCTACCACGTGCCTGTCCCCCCCTCCCAGGCTAAAGGTAAGAGGGAGGGGGGGATTTAATACCTACTTAGTTTTTTTTTTTAATTTCTTTATTTACCCCCCCCCATAGTTTTTTATTTGTTTATTTACCCCCCCACACACACACACACATTTATACACAGCACTCTCACACATCACACTCTGCACTCTCACACACATCATACACAGCACTCTCACACTCTGCACTCTCACACACATCACACTCTGCACTCTCACACACATCATACACAGCACTCTCACACACATCACACTCTGCACTCTCACACATAACACACACAGCACTCTCACACACAACACAGACAGCACTCACACACAACACAGACAGCACTCACACACAACACACACAGCACTCTCACACAGCACTCTCACACACATACACAGCACTATCACACACAACACTCTCACACACAGCACTCAGCACTCTCACACATCACTCTCAAACACATAACACTCGGCACTCACACCCAGCACTCACAACACTCTCACACACATCATACACAGCACCCACACACACAGCACCCTCACACAAATCAATCACATACAGCACCCACACATACAGCACCATCACACACATCATACACATCACTCTCACACACATCATACACAGCACTCTCACACTCTGCACTCTCACACACATCACACTCTGCACTCTCACACACAACACACACAGCACTCTCACACACAACAAACACACACACAGCACCTCACACACATACACAGCACTATCACACACACAGCACTCAGCACTCTCACACATCACTCTCAAACACATAACACTCAGCACTCACACTCAGCACTCACAACACTCTCACACACATCATACACAGCACCCACACACACACAGCACCCTCACACAAATCAATCACATACAGCACCCACACATACAGCACCCTCACACACATCATACACATCACTCTCATACACAGCACTCTCACACTCTGCACTCTCACACACATCACACTCTGCACTCTCACACACATCACACTCTGCACTCTCACACACAACACACTCTGCACTCTCACACACAACACACACAACACACACAGCACTCTCACACACATACACAGCACTATCACACACAACACTCTCACACACAGCACTCAGCACTCTCACACATCACTCTCAAACACATAACACTCAGCACTCACACTCAGCACTCACAACACTCTCACACACATCATACACAGCACCCACACACACAGCACCCTCACACAAATCAATCACATACAGCTCCCACACATACAGCACCCTCACACACACAACTCCCTCACACAGCACCCACACCTCACACACAGGATCCATCACACACACATACTGCACCCCTCACATACACACACAACCCCCCGATACACTGCATCACACACATACACAATACTTCCAAACATATTTATATAATATATATACACATATAAATATACACACAGCACCCCTCACACACACACAGCACCCCTAAACACATTTCATTCCAGACACACACTAGATCCTCTACCCAACTCTGGATCATCTACACACATACACACACTAGATCCCTATATACACTCTGAATCCATTATATACGCACGCTCACTAGATCTCCTATACATATTCTGGGTCCTTCAAACACACACACACTCTGGATCCCCTATACGCACACTAGATTCCTTATAAGCAAACACATACTACATTCCCTGAACACACACTCTACAAACACTACATCACCTACACACACACACTATAGCCTGTATACACACACTTGCTACATCCCCTAAACACACATTCTCTAAAGCCCCTAGCCACATATGCATTACATTACACCACAAACACAACACGACTAAAACCGACCTTATTACACAATACCACACCACGACCAGCTCACTCTGCACACACGCAATACCCCAAGCAGGCTCCAAACACATGCACAATACTCTTTCCTGGCCCTTTTGTCTCCTGGTATCCATTTATAGAGACACCAGAGACAAGTTGCAAGGAAACACAGTGCAAGCATGTTATTAAATTTGCTTGCACTGTGCAGAACAAATACAGGGCTTTTTTCTCATGCTAGAGCTCTTCAGCAGAGCTCTGTGCATGGTCTGCCCTGGAAGAGCATTGAACCAACATGCTCACTTTGAGAGGGGGCGTGTTTGTCATGAGTGATGACAAAACACACCCTCTCTGCCCCGCCCCCTTCTTAGTGGGCCGCTGTGATAAAAAAATGCCCAGGCCGAATTTTTTTCCCAGTCCGGCCCTGAGAGAATCCATCTACTTTCCTGACCCTAAATACGGGAGAAATGCCTGAATGTCGAGTTCTCTACCCCCCTCACCTTGATATCAATATCTTACATACTACACCATATTTTTTTTATTTATTTACAGAATACATTGTATTGTTGTCTCAGGTTGTATAATAATCCTATTATTCACCTATTTGGTGTTTGGTTATACACAACCTTTATCTATTAATTTTATTTAATTTGGTACCCTTTTTGGTTTTTCTTTTTTGCCCTTACTAATCTCAAGTGTCTTGATAGGGAACACTTTTCCTTAAAGGGTCTCTTTGTATTTTGGGAGCGTATAGTGAACCATTCTTGTGTACTATCAAAAAGAGAGTACTAATCCACACTCTTTTAATTAATATTGCTTTCTTTAAATTTAAATTTTGAAAATGTCTTTTTGTTTTATATCTCTAGTTTGATATATTGATATAGATCAGTTAAGTACCTAAGGGTTAAAAGAAATATCAGCGACTACAAAGTAACGCGCTCTCTTACCACTGGCCAGTATGATAACAAGCTTGGCCAATCACCTACGAGATGTAGATTTAAAGGGACACTGTAGGCACTGTATCTGCTTCATTTCATTAAACTGATTATAGTGTCCAGAGTTTCCAAGTTCCATAATTTCATTCAGCATTAAACAGTTTTTCATATTTTTATGTTTCAATGCTAAATGAGAGTGCCCAGCAGCCCCTCCCCTCTGTGCTCCTTTGGCAAATGAGGAACTACTAGCATGAGCAACAATGGGCAGCTATGATTGGCTGAGAGTGTCAGCTGTCTGTTTTTAGCCTATCAGAGCTCCAACTAACGGGATGAAGGGTATAACTTCAAGGAAGTGTGTAATCTCTGCCTTCGCCACACCTCCAGAAGAGGCCGGACTGTGGGTGGCCTCGATCCCTTATTTAGTGTTAAACTGCTATAAAATGGTTTAACATTGTATGGAGAGACAGTGCCAGGAGATTCCAGGCATCATAACCAATTCAAAGAGATGAAATGATTATAGTGAGTACAGTTTCCATTTAAATATCGATACTTACCTGCATCTGGTTCCCCTCTGATGAGCTACTCTGGCGAAACGCATGTGTCAGGGGCTTAGGACGCCTACTTGGCATACCTGAGGTGTCAGTACTCACTGCTACGAATCTCACATCGGCGAAACTTCCACTCCGAGAATAGGCATCCTTTGGCTTTACGTTTAGTCCTTGTTACAATTTTGTTATTCTGATTTCTATACTTGTAGCAGTAGCGGATGCCTTAGTGTCAGAGCAGGCTTTTTTAAGGGGTGCCCACAAAGGCACATTAGACTCTCACTGTAATAGGAGTTAGTCTAACAGCACATCCTTTCTACCTCTCTTTTTGCTACTCGCAATAGCCTTAACTCTGACTCCAGTTTAACAGTGTGTAAATAATAGTATATTTGTTCGTTCAAAATCAATTTTGGAAATATTCACTCTTACCTTGCTGCCACATTACCTAGTATTAGATACAAGAAGGACTGAACACCAAGCTTTATTTGATTTTATCTTATCCTCAATCTTACTAAATTATATTAATAGGTAAGTTTTAACCTTGGCACTAATTCTAATAACTCTCAATTAAGATACACCTGCTGGTAGATTTAGTTTTTTTCCTTTTCTTAATTCCAATCATTAAGATATAAATTAGAGCGCTAATTGACTTATTCTAAGTACATCCGTTACTGATATTACCTAATGTCAGAGCTACAAGAGCCATGCATTGCCAGGAGACCCACAAAGTATTATGGGAGATGGAGTTAAAAAGTTCTAAAAGAATAACTGATACTCATGAGTTCAAAGGCTATAGGGCTATCTTCATTTTATTATGTTTTAATGGCATCAAGCCTCTTAACATACCCCATGTATTTAATGAAAAACATGCAATATAATATTGCTATCAGCTACCAGCAGTACAGGGAGACTGGGACATATTGATATTAAACAGTACCTCCACCCAGTGATCAACATGAACTGGGATATACCTTCCTTGCACTGGGACATGAAAGAGTCAGAACCTAGAAAAAAAAAAGTGGCCAGCCAGCCAGGTCTTGAGCCCCCCAAGACACGAGGCAAACAAGGGACCTGCCTGAATGTTTGGGGTGGCCCCTGCAAAATGCCGCCCAATGCAGATGCCTTGTTTGCCTCGTGGAAGATTCATCCCTGTATATAGCGCCAACTAATTCTGCAGCATTTTACAATATAATGAAAAGGGAAAATTACAATAAATTAGACAATTACACAATGACACAGGAACAAAAGGCAGATGAGGGCCCTGCACAAACAAGCTTACAGTCTAGAGGTAGAACAATGGTGATTAAACATACACAATTGAGATTACCACTCCCAGATAATACAGCACCCCATATACCCCACCCCAGATAATCCAGCACTCTGTACTCCCACTCCCAGATAATACAGCATACTATATCTCCCAAGCCAGATGTAACGGAACGCCTGGCACCCCGACTGGGTACCTTCCGTTGACGGATGCTCCTAGTGCTTCCCGAGGGCTCCAAGCACACCACAAGACACCATAACCACCGCAGATCCCACGAACCACCGCAGCTTGGTTGGGGTCTCGCCGTCTTCCACCCACTCTGGACCCAAGACTAGGGTCCAGCTTCCAGTAGGTAGAATTCTCCTAAATCCAGAGAGCAGGAACAGGAACAAGCTCTTACCAGAGCTTAGTGATTATACCCTAGGGAGTATAGTGATTATAGCAATCCCCAGAGTGTAGTTCTCCAATCCCCCAAACATGAGCCGAAACTTCATGAAGGTACAATATGATCTGTTTAATGGTGGCCACAGCTTGGCTTTTTATGCAGGTCCTCCAGGTACTCCCACAGGGACCTTGTGGAGGACTGGAATACAATTACAGTAGCCAATCAAAATACAATACAATGTGAAACACTCCCACAGAAACAGTAAAATCCCTTCTCTCTATCCTGGAGATAATTGGGTTAAGTGGCCGTAGTAAACTTAATTATCTCCAGGTACAGAAAATATTTCCAATTTATAACTGTAACAAAACACATTAAAATACATAACTCATATTTCACATAACTGGACCCCCACATTCGACATATCTCCAGATAGCTTGTATCTGAGCGCTCAATATATATCCGAACAGCACTCAGATCCCATGAACATAGTCGAATCGCCATGGAGTTAAAGAGTTTTCACCCATCGTTCGGCAGAATCTGCCTGGAATTAGTTCCATGGCTTTTAGTCCTCAGGGTCGGTCTAGTTTGTGAGTTATTAATGTACCGAACGACGTGGTCTTTGTATAAACAGAAACGACGGAATGGAAGTTTGGCGGTCCCAGGGGTGTTCGTGTGAAACAGTGACCGAAAACAGTTCCATGCGGTCAACGACAAAACACCGCTGGGGGATCGGCAGTTTAAGATGGCCGCCGCCACATGTTCATTAATATGAACGGCGACCCCCCAGCCGTTCGTCAATTAGCTGCTTTTAACCACAGCTTCTGGGATGTTAACAAGCTGCACACTCCCATTGCGTGTATCTGGCTGTTCATTAGTTTGTTCGTATAAACGAACACCATAGGCACAATCCACTCGGTAGTCCCATATACGGAACTGTGGAAGGAAAAGGGCACGAACAAAAGCCTTTCTCCAGTCCTGCATCCCGGTCTTATACATGGGCCATAGTTCTGGGACAAGAGGCTGGCCTCTCGAAACCCCGGTGACTTCCGTGCTTTTGTCACACCGGATAATAAAGTACCCCATATCTCCCCATTCCCAGATAATACAGCATACTATATCCCCCACCCCACATAATACAACAATTGTTATCCCTCACCCCGGATAATAGAGCACCCTGTACTCTCACTACCAGAAAATACAGCACCCTATATCTCCCCATTCCGAGATAATAAAGTACCATATATCTCCCCATTCCCAGATAATACAGCACTCTATGCTCCCACCCCAGATAATATAGCACCCTATATCCCCACCCCAGATAATACAACAGCCTATATCCCACCACCCCAGAAAATACAGCACCCTATATCCCCCACCCCAGATAATACAGCAGCCTATATTCCCCCACCCCAGGTAAAACAGCACTCTGTATCCCCCACCCCAGATAATACAGCAGCCTATATCCCCCCACCCCAGATAATACAGCACTCTGTATCCCCCACCCCAGATAATACAGCACCCGATATCCCCCACCCCAGATAATACAGCACCCTATATTCCCCACCCCAGATAATACAACACCCTATATTCCCCATCCCAGATAATACAGCACTCTATATACCCCACCACAGATAATACAGCTCCCTATATCTTCCATCCCAGATAATAGACCACTCTATATCCCTCCACCCCAGATAATAGAGCACTCTATATCTCCCACCCCATATAATACAGCACCCTATATCCCACCATCCCAGATAATACTGCACTCTGTATCCCCCACCCCAGATAATACAGCACCCTTTATCCCCCCACCCCAGATAATACAGTGCCCTATAGCCTCCAACCCAGATAATACAGCACTATATCTCCAACCATCCCAGATAATACAGCACCCTATATCCCCCAACCCAGATAATACAGCGCCCTATATCCCCAGCCCAGATAATACAGCATCCTATATGTCCCCACCCCAGATAATACAGCACCCTATATCTCCCCAGCCCAGATAATACAGCACCCTATATCTTCCCACCCAGATAATACAGTAAAGTAGGGCGTTGTGGATATTTTATTATTTATGTACTTATTAAAATCTTTAAAATGAGCACTATTCCTGCTGTATTGAAAGGGCAGCTTAATGCCTCTCTAATTGGCAGTTAAATTATCTTAAAAAGTTGAAGATGGGGGGCTGAGCTAAGACAAGGACCTGAATGGCCGCATGTACTCGGAGCTCCAGACCAAACAATATTTCTAAACCCTCTAACGTGGCCCAATCTCCCCACATACGGCACCAAACCGAAAATCTAGCCATAATTAAAGACATGAGCGGAATAACTAAAAAGGCAAAGCCCGACACCACTCGGCAGTCCGCGACCTGCAACAGCAGACCCACAAGATGTACCTAAGGTTTGCAGAAATAGAGGATCAGAGGCGTAGCCTGAATCTCAAGATCCGGGGCATCGGTTAAGAGATACCAGAGGCGGAGGTACCGCATTTTATCTGGCGCCTGCTCTCTGCTCTCCTGCCCCCTCGACAGGCCAAGCAAGCAGTTTTGGGAGAGATGTCCCACCTTCCAAGACCAACTAAGGCCAAGAGATCTCCTGGTACGCTTCCTGAATCACGGAGACAGAACAGCGGTCCTCCAAGCAACTAGAAACCAATTGCCAAATATGTTTGAAGGCAAGCAACTCTCAATATATGCAGAATTATCAAGGCCGACTCTGGCATGGCGCTGCACGATTAAACCCTTCACGGCTCTACCCCGTCTGCACAAGATCAAATACCAGTGGAGGCCTAATCCTGATCCAACACGGCGACACAGAATACAAGGTTCAAGAGATGCAAAGCGCCACAGAGCTCCTGCCTACCCTGGGGTTACAACTGGACTCCATGTCAATCGCGGCACCAAACCACCCAGAGGCACCGCTAACTACGAAGGACCCGGCGAAAGAGACACAGTTCATCCCCCGACAGGCAGGAACGGAGCCCCCACAGAGACCACTACCTGAACGATCCAGGGACTGACATACACCTCCCAACAGACCTTGTGCTAAATGAGCATGCCGTACACGGAGACCGGGACTGGAATTCCCTCCAATGTTTTTGTTTGCAAACGTTATGGTTAACTGCATTACTGAGTTGCTCCCATCTGCACCCCCAGCCCCCCCAGGGTTAAGGGACATATTTACCTACAAAGTGGGAGCTTAAAACCTAAATTCCCACACGGCATTGAAAGTGCTCCACACACAATCTTGTATGACCATCTGATTATAATCCACTCACCAGCACACTCAGCATAAAAGCCTCTTATCAACGTTAGACCCATCGGCTATAAGGCCATACTCCTTGGCACTATAGGCTTCTGTTCCAACGCCAACCCCCACTACCCAAAATTTCCTCAGCTCACGGCCCAAAGCCACTCTTAGCTAGACACCCTGTCTGTTAAGCCCTACCGCATGTGATTGTTGTCTTGCATAAGATGTTTTTCTTTTCTCTTCTGTAATAATTCTATTGAGCCTCTCACCAGAGTAAAAAAAAAAGAATACAAAAAAAAAAAGATGAAGATGTTGCTAACAATGCAAGCATTTTTTAAAAGTGATTTATTGTGATGATTTTAGTAACTTCAGTATCTCACTAGCATTTACTCTGTCAGTCTGGGTATATTCCAAAATGTATTTATTAATTGAGTAAACCATGGATTTAGTATATATAATTCCTGGGGCAAGCTCTCATTTTCGGATGCAATGTAGGTGCTGTCTCCAGTTTCCACCTATAAAAAAAATGGAGGGAAAAAACATTATATTTCCAGATTATGTTTCATTATGCAGAACAACTGATATATTGAAATAACAATATATTTAAATGACCTCTAAAGGCACCCAGATTTCGCCATGTTAATTAGATGGTGTGTGTGACGTAGCTCTTTAGTTTTAACTTTGCAATCTAAAACATTGCAGTTTAGTATAAACTTTGCAATGTTATGATTGTAGAGTTAACACACCTTTGGTCACTTCCTTTGTGAGAACTCATTCAGACTCGGTTTTTATAGTAAGCATGTGAATTGATACACATATGTACTAGCCTCCTCATTGCTCCTGTAAGGGGCAGCATTGGACTGGCTGAGATCATCAAACTTCATGATCCTATCCAGGGAGGCAGGGAGTCAGGGCAAACCAAGGAATCGGGAGTAAAGGTAAGTAAGTATTTTTAAAACCCTTATGGGGTTGATGGGCATTAGGCGGGCGGTGAACAGCAAAACAGATTGGGTAAAACAATATCATTAGGCATGTTTATATTCCTTTTACATTTATAATTTTTAAAATGAGAAAGACATACTAAGTAAAACATAACAAAATATATTTTAAGTTACCTTAACCTATCACTGACCACGGACATATCAGGTACGTCCGACAAAAAACGTTCCTTAAGGGCCGCGGACGTACCTGATACGTCCGCAGCGAATTAGAGCGCTGGAAGCAATCATGATGGCTTCCAGCCGCTCTGATGGTATTGCAGCGATGTTGAGGCATCTTGCAATACCCCCATTCACTACCATTCACTCTGTCACTAGTCACCCCCTCACTCCCTCACTCTGCCACTAGTCACCCCCTCCCTCCCTCACTCACTCTGTCACTAGTCACCCCTCCCTCACTTTGCCATTAATCAACCCATCCTTCACTCTCACTAGTCACCCCCATCCCTCACTCTGCCACTAGTCAGCCCATCCCTCACTCTCACTAGTCACCCCTCACTCTGTCACTAGTCACCCCCTCGCTCTGTCACTAGTCACCCCTCCCTCCTTCCCTCACTCTGTACCCAGTCATCCCCTCCCTCCCTCACTCTGTCACCAGTCACCCCCTCACTCTGTCACCAGTCACTCCCCCTTCCTTGTAAACAAACACATACTACACCCCTAAACACACACTCTCTACAACCCCTACAAACACTACATCACCTATATATACACACACACACTATAGCCTGTATGCACACACTTACTACATCCCCTATACACACATTCTCTACAGCCCCTAGCCACATATGCATTACATTACACCAAAAACACAACACGACCTTATTACACAATACCACACCACAATCAGCTCACTCTACACACATGTAAGTTTCACAAGCAGACTCCAAACACATGCACAATACTCTTTCCTGGCCCTTTTGTCTCCTGGTATCCATTTATAGAGACACCAGAGACAAGTTGCAAGGAAACACTGTGCAAGCATGTTATTAAATTTGCTTGCACTGTGCAGAACAAATACAGGACTTTTTTTCTCATGCTAGAGCTCTTTAGCAGAGCTGTGCGCATGGTCTGTCCTGGAAGAACATTGAACCAACATGTTCACTTTGAGAGGGGGCGTGTTTGTCATTGGTGATGACGAAACACACCCTCTCTGCCCCACCCTCTTCTTAGTGGGCTGCTGTGCTAAAAAATGTCAGGGCCGAATTTTTCTCCCAGTCCGGCCCTGACCCCCTCACTCTGTCACCAGTCACCCCCTCCCTCACTCTGTCACTAGTCACCCACTCCCTCCCTCACTTTGTCACCAGTCAACCCCTCCCTCATTCTGTCACTAGTCACTCCCTCCCCCCCCTCTGCAACTAGTCATCCCCTCCCTCCCTCTGTCACTTGTCACCCCCTCCCTCACTCTGTCACCAGTCACCCCCCCTCACTGTGTCCCCCCCTCACTCTGCCACTGCTCACCCCCTCCCTCCCTCTGCCACCAGGTTCCCCCTCACTCTGCCACCTGTCACCCCCTCCCTCACACATTCTGTCACCTGTCACCCCCCTTGGACAAGTAGATGATTTTTTTTTTTAATATTCCACACCCCTGCACATGCAGACACACACCAACGCTCAATACACATATGCATTCACGCTGACACTATATACAAAAAAGCACATGTAGTCATCCAGATATGCACAAGTGCATTCACACAGACTCAAATACAAACATGCATTGATACACAGGTATTCACAATATACACATCCAAAGGAATGCCGTATTATATGAGAGTTATATTTCACATTTATTTAATGCACATATATTTGGCCTTCAAAGGGCTTGGGATCTATTTTTGCCCAGGGGCCCCAAAGGCCCTCAGTCCGACCCTGGGGGGACCTATTGTCCTCCCCCAGCCCCCACCCATGAGCGGCAGGTGGGAACCCTAAAAGACCTATTGTCCCACTCGGCCCCCACCCATGAGCGGCAGGTGGGGGCCCTAAATTAGAATGGGGGGGACTTATTATCCTCCTCCCTGGCCCCACCCATGAGCAGCGGGTGGGGCCATAAATAAAAATTGCGGGGGACCTATTGTCCTCACCCCTGGCCCCCACTAATAAGTGGTGGGTGGGGGCCCTAAATGACAATGGGTGGGACCTATTGTGCTCCCGCCGGCCCCCACCCATGGGAAACAGGTGGGGGCCCTAAATGAAAATGTGGGGACCTATTGTCCTCCCGCCTGGCCCCCACCCATAAGCCACAGATGGGGACCCTAAATGAAAATGGGGGGACCTATTTCCTCCCCCCTGGCCACACCCATGGAGGATGGGTGGGGGCTAAATGTAAATAAAGCCCTACCTACCCCCCTCACCATAAAAATAGTGAGGGGGGAGACAATAAAACTAAATAACTGTAAATACATTTTTTTTTAAAAAATACCATTTGATGTCTTCTTTTTTCTAAAACCCTTTTGCAGCCCCAAAGAAGGCCAAATAAAAATCCACAATACCCGTTTGACTTATAAAATAAAATAAAAAAACCAGAGCGCAAAAAAAAAAACAAGCTGAGGGGAAGGACAGTAGCCCCCCCACCCCCCAATTTTCATTTAGGGATTGGGACCAGCCCCCCAAATTCATTTCACATGGGTGGGGGTCAGGGGAGAGGACATTAGGTCTCCCCCCCCCCCTTATTGTAATTTAGGGAATTATGTAAACTCAGTAACTGATATTACCTGGTGCCATAGTTACAAGAGCCATGCATTGCCAGGAGACTCGCTAAGTATTATGGGAGATGAAGTTAAATAGTTCTATAATAATAGCTGTCGCTCTGGAGTTCAAAGGCTCTAAGGCTATCTTCATTTTATTACGATTTATTGGCATCAAACCTCTGAACATATTCCATGTATTTAATGAATAACAGGAAATAAAATTCTGCTATCAGCAAGACATAACAGAACCTTACACATGGCAGTCATATCAGATCATATTTACCATCATCTTCTTGGCCAGTAACTCAGGTACACAAGATGGATGTTGAGTCCTTCATGGAAAAAGCAACTTCCCCGCAAGAAAGGAGCATATCAGAGCCTGGAGAAGGTGTCCTGGAGAGAGTGTCACTGCTCCAGAATAGGGGACAATCATATTCACTTCCTCTGCCTGCTCTCCTTCATCTTCTGCGGAGAAGACTTCGATCATTGATTCCCCCGCTGCAAAGAAATAATATTTCAACATAGTATGAGGCTATCTCTCCTACAATATAATATCTGATATAAGATCTGCACATTAGTGAGATCTCGCTATCTCTCCTATGATATAAGATCTGCACATTAGGGAGAAGATCTCGCTATCTCTCCTATAATATAATATCTGCGCATTAGTGAGATCTCCCTATCTCTCCTATAAGATCTGCACATTACTGAGAAGATCCCACTATCTCTCCTATGATATAAGATCTGCACATTAGTGAGATCTCGCTATCTCTCCTATGATATAAGATCTGCACATTAGTGAGAAGATCTCGCTATCTCTCCTATGATATAAGATCTGCACATTAGTGAGAAGATCTTGCTATCTCTCCTATAATATAATATCTGCACATTAGTGAGAAGATCCCGCTATCTCTCCTATGATATAAGATCTGCACATTAGTGAAAAGACCCCGCTATCTCTCCTATAATATAAGATCTGCACATTAGTGAGAAGATCCCGCTATCTCTCCTATGATATAAGATCTGCACGTTAGTGAAAAGACCCCGCTATCTCTCCTATTATATAAGATCTGCACATTAGTGAGAAGATCCCGCTATCTCTCCTATGATATAAGATCTGCACGTTAGTGAAAAGACCCCGCTATCTCTCCTATTATATAAGATCTGCACGTTAGTGAAAAGACCCCGCTATCTCTCCTATTGTATAATATCTGCGCATTAGTGAGAAGATCTCCCTATCTCTCCTATAAGATCTGCACATTACTGAGAAGATCCCGCTATCTCTCCTATGATATAAGATCTGCACATTAGTGAGAAGATCCCGCTATCTCTCCTATGATATAAGATCTGCACATTAGTGAGAAGATCCCACTATCTCTCCTTTGATATAAGATCTGCACATTAGTGAGAAGATCCGCTATCTCTCCTATGATATAAGATCTGCACATTAGTGAGAAGATCCCGCTATCTCTCTTATGATATAAGATATGCACATTAGTGAGAAGATCTCGCTATCTCTCCTATGATATAAGATCTGCACATTAGTGAGAAGATCCCGCTATCTCTCCTATGATATAAGATCTGCACATTAGTGAGAAGATCCCGCTATCTCTACTATGATATAAGATCTGCACATTAGTGAGAAGATCCCGCTATCTCTCCCATGATATAAGATCTGCACATTAGTGAGAAGATCTCGCTATCTCTCCCATGATATAAGATCTGCACATTAGTGAGAAGATCCCGCTATCTCTCCTATGATATAAGATCTGCACATTAGTGAGAAGATCCCACTATCTCTCCTATGATATAAGATCTGCACATTAGTGAGAAGATCCGCTATCTCTCCTATGATATAAGATCTGCACATTAGTGAGAAGATCCGCTATCTCTCCTATGATATAAGATCTGCACATTAGTGAGAAGATCTCGCTATCTCTCCTATGATATAAGATCTGCACATTAGTGAGAAGATCCCGCTATCTCTCCTATTATATAAGATCTGCACATTAGTGAGAAGATCCCGCTATCTCTCCTATGACATAAGATCTGCACATTAGTGAGAAGATCCCGCTATCTCTCCTATTATATAAGATCTGCACATTAGTGAGAAGATCCCGCTATCTCTCCCATGATATAAGATCTGCACATTAGTGAGAAGATCCCGCTATCTCTCCTATGATATAAGATCTGCACATTAGTGAGAAGAACCAGCTCTCTCCCATGATATAAGATCTGCACATTAGTGAGAAGATCCCGCTATCTCTCCTATGACATAAGATCTGCACATTAGTGAGAAGATCCCGCTATCTCTCCTATGATATAAGATCTCGCTATCTCTCCCATGATATAAGATCTGCACATTAGTGAGAAGATCCCGCTATCTCTCCCATGATATAAGATCTGCACATTAGTGAGAAGATCTCGCTATCTCTCCCATGATATAAGATCTGCACATTAGTGAGAAGATCCCGCTATCTCTCCCATGATATAAGATCTGCACATTAGTGAGAAGATCTCGCTATCTCTCCCATGATATAAGATCTGCACATTAGTGAGAAGATCCCGCTATCTCTCCTATGATATAAGATCTGCACATTAGTGAAAAGACCCCGCTATCTCTCCTATTATATAAGATCTGCACATTAGTGAGAAGATCCCGCTATCTCTCCTATAATATAATATCTGCGCATTAGTGAGAAGATCTCGCTATCTCTCCTATGATATAAGATCTGCACATTAGTGAGAAGATCCCGCTATCTCTCCTATGATATAAGATCTGCACATTAGTGAGAAGATCCCGCTATCTCTCTATGATATAAGATCTGCACATTAGTGAGAAGATCCCGCTATCTCTCCTATGATATAAGATCTGCACATTAGTGAGAAGATCCCGCTATCTCTCCTATGACATAAGATCTGCACATTAGTGAGAAGATCCCGCTATCTCTCCTATAATATAATATCTGCGCATTAGTGAGAAGATCTCGCTATCTCTCCTATGATATAAGATCTGCACATTAGTGAGAAGATCTCGCTATCTCTCCTATGATATAAGATCTGCACATTAGTGAGAAGATCTCGCTATCTCTCCTATGACATAAGATCTGCACATTAGTGAGAAGATCCTGCTATCTCTCCTATGATATAAGATCTGCACATTAGTGAGAAGATCCCGCTATCTCTCCTATGACATAAGATCTGCACATTAGGGAGAAGATCCCGCTATCTCTCCTATGATATAAGATCTGCACATTAGTGAGAAGATCTCGCTATCTCTCCTATGACATAAGAACTGCACATTAGTGAGAAGATCACTCTGTCTAACCTAAAGTCCGGGGTTTTTAAGTATTCACAATATTTAGGATTTAATGCATAGTAAACTTTTGCGTTTGTAAAACGTCTTGGGAACATATGATATTATAGATCATACAGCCAACTGTGAGTTCTGTAGTTTGAGTTCAGGGCTAATATGTAAATTCATCTCTACGGAGGTGCCTGTAATATATTGGCTGAGCGTCTATAACAAGACTGATATAAATAAAGATACAGACCTTTCCCTTCAGATGCTTCGGGTGCTAAGACTGGTTCGGGGTCTTCCTCTGCTTGCCTTTTGGCTATTGGCCCCTTAAAGAGCATGCATGTATTGAAGGGTAGCAGGGTGGCGCACAGTAGGAGCAGCACTCTAACTTTCATTGTGACATTACAAGTGTCACCAAAAGAGAGTCTGTCCTGACCTGTGTGTTTGTTGATCGTCTCTGCACTTAATATTTTATATATTGTTTGCTGATTATTGTCCAGTGAACCTGCAGCCTACCGCTCTATTTCAACTTTGTTAAGTCTTTCTGTTACTTTCTGGCTGCTTAGTATCTGACATCAGAATGAGCTTATGACATCATAGTCACTTTACTCTCATCCTTCCTCACCTGTTGTGAACTAGATGAGATGAATTGTACAAGTGGGCCACCGGTGGCTGGTTTTATTAGTTTATTAACATTTGAAGAACAGTTCTCTGCTAAATCAGTATTTTCTTACAATACATGTAATTAACTCCTTCATTGCCAGATATCTTCCTGTATGTCACAGGCAAACATACACCCTGTTCTAAATTATAATGCAAATTCTATTTAAGTGTCACAAAGATTAAATATTTTGTTTTTCAATTTAACTCATGGATGGCATTGTGTCTCAGGGCTCTTTTGATTACTGAAAACAATCTCTGACACCTGTGATAATTAGATTGCCAGATGAGCCCAATTTAAGGAAAAACTACTAAAGGAGGGTGTTCCACATTATTAAGCAGAGCACCATTTTCATGCAATATAGGGAAGAAAAAGGATCTCTCTGCTGCCAAATAGAGTGAAATAGTTCAATGCCTTGGATGAGGTATGAAAACATTAGATATTTCACGAAAACTTAAGCGTGATCATCGCACTATTGAGAGATTTGTGGCTGATTCAGAGCACAGACGTGTTCGTGCAGATAAAGGCACATTGAGGAAGATTTCTGCCAGATCCATGCATCTGATCTAGAGAGCAGCTGCTAAAATACCATTACATAGCAGCAAACAGATATTTGAAGCTAAAAGAATATTTTCCACTAGATCAGCAGTAATAGGAATCCAGGAGCTAGCAAATAAATAAATTCTAAAGGAATGTTAATAAAAATGGAGATACAAATAAATATATAAAATTAAAATTAAAATTAAAATAGAATAAAATAAGAATTATTGCCAAATAAAAAAGTGTTTGTAGATATGTGTGGCAGGATTGTTAACCCAGGTGGTGAGAATCTCTGGGTAACAACAATCTATGCCAATTAATATTCTTTCATACACAATATGATTTAGAAAGATAAACAGGCATGGTTCCCTCAAAATATGTAGCCTGCCTTTAAAAAATACCATATATATTATGGGTCTGTAATAGTAAGCAAACACCAGAATATAGAAAACTGGCTGCTCAAAGCAATGTAACAAAAGATAGCTTGGTCGCTAGAAAGTAATAAAGTATCAGAATTAATTTATTGAAAAAGTATAAAAATATATTAAAAAATGTGTCCACAATTAAGGCAATGAGTGATAAAAGGTAAAATTAGTACAGAGACCTTTAATGCCGGCACGGATGGATGTGGATGGTGATTCCTCGTACAGTATTGTGATGCTGGTAACCGGTGAGGTCGGTTTGCGTGTCACAGTGCGTTCCACCTCGAGCCTCACTTCGAGGGGAATGACACTGCTCTCCAGATCGTGCCGTTGGGAAGAATGAACTCCAAACCGATCGCCGGATTGTTGTGCTCGTGTCCCTTCACCTTCACACTCTATCGCTGTGTGGGCTCTCTCGAACTGGTCTGACGCGTTTCGTAGGGATTAGCCCTACTTCGTCAGAGACATCTGACTTCAACTCTCTATAGAAGTGCTTATATACCTCTCCATTAATAATTGTTTAATTAATGAGTACATTGCAATAAATTAAATAAAGTGGAAAAAATATATATAATACATAATTTAAACAGTATCATATGAAAATATACATAAATATATCTAAGTATAGCTCTAGGCTTTAATACAGTAAAATGAATAAAACATTACATGGAATAGATGTTAGTAATAATACTGATTGACATGGCAATGAAAATAGAAAAAAATAGAAAAAAATATAAATAAATAAATTACAAAATGAATAAATGAAAAATCCTGATCATGCTTTATTAATACATTGCTCTTTAGTTCATATTGACTCTACTGAGGCTGTAATTATCACTTCGCCTTCTAATACATATCACTTGTTTCCTGGGAACAACCTGAACATTTTTGTTAATATCGAACTCATAACATTATGTAACAAAATGTGACATTTTGTTTGCATAGTGATACTTTAAATATGGCAAATGTTAAATACAAAAGCTGTTTGTTCTCTAAGGCTCATATTGAAAAAAATGGGAATAAAAACTGCTCTGTTTGTCTTGATGAGATTCCTGTAACGAGACATAGATGTTAGTAGGCAGATTGAGCCACATTATGTTTATCATAAACATGTATTCATTTTTTTATTTTTATTTTTTTTATTTAGATTTTGTAGATATTAAATATATATGTATGTAAATTTTTAATAATTCTTGGTATACTGCACAGTTATGTTCTTTATGTTCTTTATCTATATTCTGCTATTCTTTCCAATTGTATGCATACTTTGAGTATATACAGTCCTCATATAGAAGCCATGACCTGCCATTTGCAGGACCATTTTTGATTATTCAATGTTCAATACATCGATAACAAATGAATACATGTTTATGATAAACATAATGTGGCTCAATCTGCCTACTAACATCTGTACTAATTTTACCTTTTATCACTCATTGCCTTAATTGTGGACACATTTTTTAATATATTTTTATACTTTTTCAATAAATTAATTCTGATACTTTATTACTCTCTAGCGACCAAGCTATCTTTTGTTACATTGCTTTGAGCAGCCAGTTTTCTATATTCTGGTGTTTGCTTACTATTACAGACCCATAATATATATGGTATTTTTTAAAGGCAGGCTACATATTTTGAGGGAACCATGCCTGTTTATCTTTCTAAATCATATTGTGTATGAAAGTATATTAATTGGCATAGATTGTTGTTACCCAGAGATTCTCACCACCTGGGTTAACAATCCTGCCACACATATCTACAAACACTTTTTTATTTGTCAATTATTCTTATTTTATTCTATTTTTATTTTTATTTTATTTATTTATTTGTATCTCCATTTTTATTAACATTCCTTTAGAATTTATTTATTTGCTAGCTCCTGGATTCCTATTACTGCTGATCTAGTGGAAAATATTCTTTTAACATTGTCTAGTAGGTTTTTGGTGGATCCCTATTTTTATCCAGTTTTAGAGCTATATGTTTTAGGTCTATTTCTCCCTCTACTTCTTTGTATATTTTATACAAGAATTAATCTTACTTACAGATATTTGAAGCTGCTGGTGCTTCTGGAGTCCCACGGACATCAAGGTGTAGAGTCCTCCAGAGTCTCGCAAATGTGCATAAACCTTCTATTCGGCCACCACAACCAATGCTCACAAGCAGAAACGGCTGCATTGGGCAGAAAAATACATGAAGACTAATTTTCAAACAGTCCTGTTCACTGATGGTCCAGATGGATGGAGTAGTGGATGGTTGGTGGACGGCCACCCTATTCCAACAAGGCTGCGACGTCAGCAAGGCGGTGGTGGAGTCATGTTTTGGGCTGGAATCATGGGAAGAGAGTTGGTCGGCCCCTTTAGGGTCCCCAAAGGTGTAAAGATGACCTCTGCAAAGTATGTGGAGTTTCTGACTGACCACTTTCTTCCCTGGTACAGAAGGGAGAACTATGGTTTCCGTAATAAAATCATCTTCATGCATGACAATGCACCATCTCATGCTGCAAAGAATACCTCTGCATCAATGGCAGCTGTGGGGATAAAAGGAGAGAAAGTCATGGTGTGGCCTCCATCCTCCCCTGACCTCAATCCTATTGAGTACCTTTAGAGCATCCTCAAGCAAAAGATCTATGAGGGTGAGAGGCAGTTTACATCCAAACAGTAGCTCTGGGAGGCTATTCTGACATCTTGCAAACAAAGCAGAAACTGTCCAAACACTCACAAGTTCAATGGATGCAAGACTTGTGAAGCTGCTATCAAATAAGGGGTCCTAAGTTAAAATGTAACGTGACCTGTTAAAATGTTTAAAAAGTTAAAATGTTATAAGTTTGATTGAAATAGATTTTGATTTCAGTAAATATGCTGCAAACACAACAAATGACAATTTTCAGTTCTTTACAACCTATAAAGTGTTTTGCAAACTTACTGTGCGTAATAATTTGGAATAGTGCATTGTAAGTTTTTTATGTTTAAAAAAAAATACTATCATTAGGAGGTTTGTTTAATAAAATTTGAATTGTACTCTTAATAGTTGATAACATGAGAATTATGCTGACTGTTATTTACATCAATTATTTAGGTAAATGAGAAAAATATTATTTGCATAATAATTTGGAACAGGGTGTAGTCATTTCTGAAAAAGAGTTAGCTCTTTAATTACCATACCAAAAAGGCAATTAAAGTGGCACACTTATTATATCATACTCCTACTAATAAAAGAAACACTTTATTCCTTATTAATAAAATACAATAATTCTACCAGTAGGACACAAAATAAAACATATAAAATATGTGCGCAAAAAATCTCTAATATAACAATATATAAAAATAATGAGATACTGCTATTTTAGAACTTTACCTTAATTAAAAAAAGAGGAAAATTAAACGTAAGGTGGAGTAAATCCAAATTATTTGTATGATGAGGGGCAGGGCCGGCGCTTCCTATAAGGCGAACTAGGCAGCCGCCTAGGGCGCCATATAGGAGGGGGCGCCCTGCGCCCCCATCGCCGGCCCTTTAAATTCTGCAGCCGCCTGAGCGCTCTATACAGAGCGCTCAGGCGGCTGCCGCACTGCCTCACCTCCCCGGCACTGTAGCGTGGCCGAGCTCCTTTCCGGTCCGCGACCCGGCCGGACTGACAGGAAGTGCACACTGAGTGTGCACTTCCTGTCAGTCCGCGGGGTCGCGGACCGGATAGGAGCTCGGCCACGCTACAGGGCAGGGGAGGTGAGGAGAAGCTGCTGGGGGGAGATGATTTGATGGGAGTGGAGGAGGATGATGATGATGGATGGAGGGGGAGATGATGATGATGATGGGGAGATGGGAGGGGGGAGATGACAAGTGATGGGGGAGATGGAGGGGGGAGATGATGATGGGGGGGAGATGGTGGAGGGGGGGAGATGACGATGGGGAGATGGAGGGGGAGATGATGATGGGGGGGAGATGGGAGGGGGGAGATGATGATGATGGAGGGGCAGGATATGATGATGATGGGGGAGATGGGAGGGGGGAGATGATTGATGGAGGGGGGGAGATTTGGGGGATGATGGGGAAGATGGAGGGGGAGATGATGATGGGGGTGATGATGATGGGGGAAGATGATGATGTGGGGAGATGATTTGATGGGGGTGATGATGGGGGAGATGGGGATGTGATGATGCGTGAGATGTAATTTGATGGGAGGGAGGGGGGGGGTGATGATGATGGGGATACGATGGGGAGATGATGGGGGAGATGATTGATGGGAGGAGGGGGGGTGGCTGATTGATGGGGAGGAGGAGATGATTGATGGGAGAAGATTGATGGGAGGGGAAGAAGAAGAGAAGATTATGGGGGGAGAAGAAGAGAAGATTACGGGGGAGAAGAAGCGATTACAGGGGGGAGGGGAGAAGATTACGGGGGGAGGGGAGAAGAAGACAAGATTACAGGGGGGAGAAGAAGCGGAGAACACAGGGAGGGGGGGAATAAGAGGAAAACACGGGGGAGAAGAAGAGGAGAACACGAGGGGTGGGAGATGAGAAAGTAGGGGAGGGAGAGACCACTAAAGGAGGGAGGGGGCAGTGGAGAGACCGCTAAGGGAGGGGGGTGAGGATAGACCACTAGGGGAGGGTGGGGGGAGAGGAGAGACCACTAATGGAAAGTCGGGGAGAAAAGGAGACCACTAAGGGAGGTGGGGGGAGAGGAGAGACCACTAAGGGGCAGGGGAGATCTCTAAGAAATGGAAGGGAGAGCTCTATAGGACAGGGAGCTCTTTCACACCACACACACACACACACCCTATACACACAGAAACACAACATGCTTCCCTTACAGAGAAACACACAATGCAACCCTTACACATAAAGACAATGCATCCTTTGCACATATACACAGAACACACACAATGCATCCCTTACACACACATGCAAACACACACTGTTTCTCTTACACACACACACAGAAACACAATGCATCTCTTACACACACTCAACACACCCCTTACAGACACACACACTGCATCCCTTACATACACAGAAACACACTTTGCATCCCTTATGCATACAAACACAGATTCACACAATGCATCCCTAACACACAACAAGAAACACACAATACATCCCTTATACACAAACACTCACTGCTTTCTATCCCTTACACAAACAACACTGCATCACCTACACAAACTGGTATCCCTATACACTACATTCCATAAGCACACACATTAGATCCTCTACAGTAACACATAACACATCCCCTACACACTCTACTCCCTGTGAGTTCATGGGTGGAACATGTAGGTGGCCTTATGGGTGGGCTTTATGGGCATACTCACCGTCAGGCCCTGGGGCCCAGACCTTGAGCTATGTAAGAGGCCCCCAAAAATGGAGCTGCTTCCCGTTCTCCCAGAACATTAAATTTTGTGACCACAGTTGCAAACAGCCTCCAGAGATCCTGTTCTACACCAGACCAGTGGAGCCAGACTGCAGCCAGAGCCCATCACCATCCTCATCTGATTATAAGTAGGCAATCTAGTATATTATTAGTGACACTAATCTCTAATTTACCTCACATTAAATGGACACTATAGTCCCCAGAACCACTGCAGCTTAATAAAGTTGTTCTGGTGTCTATAGTTTGTCCCTGCAGGCTTTTTAATGTAAACACACACTGTGTGCAGCACTGGCATTAGTTCATATGGGTGGGGCATTGTGATGTTCCGGGGGCAAATCTTTCTTTTGCCTAGGGCGGCAAAAATCCTTGCACCGGCCCTGATGAGGGGCTTCTTCTGCAGCTCTCTGTATATCAGTATGGGTTTCTTCCCTGGGGTTCAGTGAGGACCAGGCTGGCCAGATGCAGTTCAAGGGCAGGAGCTGCGATAGCTGCTGTTGGCTGCTCTACTCCAGTGTGGATTCCCATTCACATGTGCTGGGAGGAAGTGATCTGAGATCACTTCCTATAAGTGATGCAATGCGTAACTCGAGGATTGTCCCTCACCACCTGCAATCACTACTCCGTTTGCACTAATAGATATCTAAAGTAGCACTAAGCCTGATGGTGTGCCATAGGTCGCGGTCACCTCCTTAAAATTAACACAGGGATAGTGTACACAGCATAAATAAAAATAAGAGAGCTGGTGAAATATTCAACTCAACATTTACTGAAGATGCAGGATACTGACAGATAAAATAAATGTCACGACGTACAATATAACGTGGCATGTAATAGCTGGTATCTCCCTTATAACATCAGTAGTAACCAAGTCTTGGGCCACCTGATTGCCAGATAGATACAAGCCAGCCTTATGTCATATGCTTCGGGGATAAAAGAAGGCTTGTCTTACCCGATATAGAATGCCTCTGTTAGACCACACTAGGAATAGATGAAAATTAGCAGGCAGTGAGCTGCAAATCAATTATCCTTGCTTCATATCAAAGTAACTCAGGTATTATAACTCCTACAAAATCCACTGAAAGTAGGTACCTGAGAACAAGCACAGGAACTCGATTCGGGCAGCACCTAAACAGATTGCCTGTAGGAGAAATAAAGCAGGAATATTGCAAGCAATGTACTGTGATCAAGCTGCCCAGAAATGATCTGCCTGCAGTAGATATGGAGCTAAGTTATGCAGGCAGTCAGCTGTAGTAACACAGTGCCGAAGTCAGTAGCCCTCAATAAAAATATAGTAAGTATTGGCAGGCAGTAGGCTCTAGTCAGTCAGCAATGAAGCCTAATAGAGTCCACAAGTTAAAGAGACAGTATAGGCACGCAGGCCTCTTCATCTTCATAAACACATAACCCATACAAAAACATGCTTGCAATCAAATGTACAAACATTGTCCACATATAAAACCCTGCAAGAACGGGCCAATCGTAGATACCCAGCTGGCAACGCATCGTGGGAGATGTACGACAGATGGGAATCTACCTTTTAGTCACACTTGCAATAATGGGGTTGAGAGCGCAAAACAATTTCTTGCACCGGGGCCCTCTCTACATTAGTTCCGCCACTGTTATATGAGTATATCTAGTAAATGTAGTGATAGTGTTCAAATTCAATGACAGTAGAGCTGTTTAATATGTAGTCTGTCTCCATCTAGGAAGTCATGCCCAATGTATCAACCACAGACACTGGAAATCGGAACTAACACATAATAAATATTTATGCCAGTGAAATCCTATTATCAGTTTAGCCATATTTCCTGAAATGGATCCCAACAATCTGCTCCATATAATGTATCTCTTTATTTTTTTGTTTAAAAGTTAACAACAACATAAAACAGTGTTTCATGACTCCTACTGGCATGCCCTTCTTCCCTCAAAGATGAAAAACAAAGAAATTAAAGATTAAGAAATAAAGGAAGAAGGTGCAGAGCTTAACCATGGAACGAGCAAGTCGCACACTCGATGGGCATCGGGCCAAATGCTTAAAAAAAAGCATATGTTGGGGGAAATCCTCGGCAGAAACCTTGCCCAAGCACCCACCTAAAACCATGGGCCTTAACGCCAAGAAACAAAGACCGGACAAGCCCCGCACAAGCATGCATATCGGGAATCTTCTCGGGCGGGCGCAAGGAGTGTGTGGGCCCAAAATGGCCGACAACCTAACACACTACACTGACTCC